AGAAATCATGTAAGTGACATCACAACAGAACCAGAGGAAATAAAATCTATAATATCAGAATACTACGAAAAGCTATCCTCCAATACATTTGAAAATCTATAGGAAATGGGCAAATTCCTTGAAATTCATGCTCTACCCAAATCGACAAAAAAAAAAAAGATATAGAACACTTGAACAAACCCATCATAAAAGAAGACATTGAAAAGGTTATAAAAAGACTTCTCCATAAGAAAAGTCTTGGACCAGATAGCTTCACAGCTGAATTCTACCAAACATTCAGAGAGGATCTATCATCAATTCTACTTAAACTATTTAAAAAATTTAAAAAGAGGAAACACTCCCAGAGTCATTCTATGATGCAAGCTTAACCCTAATACCAAATCTAGGCAAAGATATTATCAAGAAAGAAAAGTACAGTCCAATATCTCTCATGAATATAGATGCAAGAATCCTTAACAAAATCCGTGCCAATAGAATACAAAAGCATATATATATATATAATTCACCATGACCAAGTGGGATTCATAATAGGTATGCAAGAATGATTCAACATAAGAAAAACCAATCATTGCCACTCACCATATTAACAAAATAAATAATAAGAACCATATGATCTTAGCAACTGATGTAGAAAAGAATATTAAGACCATTAACAACTCTACATTACGAGGCATTTAAAAAACCCTTGGGGTTCAAAAAAGACTACTGCTAATGGGCATGTTCAATCTCTATGATGTATAAGCATCATTTCTTTACTTCTTTGAATTTCTCAGCCCTCAGCTGGATTAAGAACCCTTCTCTTACTCCCTAGATACCCCACACACATCCTGGTAGGTCCATAAACATTCATCTATCCTCCTAATCCTGCCCCCTGTATAATACTGATGTTTTCTGTGCTTACCTCTTCAACTGCACTACAGTTCCTTTGAAAGTAGACTCTGTGGAGAACTCAATATAGAGATCCATTTTTACCTTGGGATTTGTATATAAATACCTGCTTTTTCTATATTTGGATAATTTATATGAAAGGGATTTTTTTTCCTCCTCTTTGGCTCTTACTGTTCATAGTCATGATTACGCATAGAGAAATGTTCGGAATGTGTAAATAGTTTTTAGATGAAAAACAAAAAAAGGCTGAAAAGTACAAGTAAGGCTTATATCTAAATGAGGAAGCAGATGAAAGTAGGGGTGAAGAAGTAGACAGTGCATATGAAATGGAAATTGAACCATGTGACTATCAGTTAATCTCAAAGCAAATAAATATTAAGGGCTGGAAATAAAAACCAAACCCTATGTTGTGGGTTAAATTGTGTCTCCCAAAAAGCTATGTTGAAATACTAACCCTTTCATATGTAACTGAAAGATCATTGGTGGCACGGTGGTTAAGTGTTCAGTGATTAATCAAAATGTCAGGGCTTTGAACCCAAGTCACTGGAGAAAGATGTGCTTTTGGAAATCTGCTTCTGTAAAGATTTGCATCTTGGAAAACTTATAGAATTGTTCTGTTCTGAAGAGAACAGAACATGAGAATATGCTATATGAGTTAGAAACCATTCAAAGGTAATAAGCATGATGTATGTTGTTCCTGTGATGGTGATCTTGTTGGGTAATGGAACCTGCCTCTGAAATTAAAGAGTTCATATGGTAGTAATTGGAGTCCTATTCATGTCTGAGTTATGTCTTAAGAAAGCAAAGAAGATTGGGAAACAGTCACTCAGAGGGAGTCAAAGGAAGAAGGCACCATGTGAGGATCTGCAAGTCAAGTAATGCAAAGAGCTAACAGCATCCTTTAAAATCTGGAGAGACATGAGATAGCTCTTTTCTCAAAGCCCTCAGACCGAATCCACAGGACCAATGTCATGATTGAGTCTTCTAGCATTCATAACTGAAAACGTAAATTTATTTTCTGGAAAGCCATCTTCTTTTGGATAGCTTGTTCATTTAGCCGTAAACACTATGACCCTTTTGTTTCTACTTCTTTGTTCAAGTCTCTGTGTTAGATATTGTGGAGTGACTATGGTGTAGGGAATATTTCTAAGGCATACCCTTAGTCTTCAAGGAGTGACAGTCTAGTTGGAGAGATGTCATTGACATTTACTCATTGTCCATTGTCTATCATAGCAGAATTTCTCTGACAAGAACTGAGAATTCAGAGAAGGAGTAGACAGGGTATATTTCACAAAATCAGAAGTAAGCAATGTGATCCTCAAGGAAGATAAAATAGGGGAATTTGGAGAGCAAATAAAAAGCCTATTGATACATCAATAAACTGTTGAGTAAAACCAAAATTAGAGATGACTTGCATAAAAGGTACTTATACCCAAAAGAATATTTTGGTTTATATTGGAACAAATCATTTTAAAACAATGGGAAACATTAAAAAATATGTTTGCTATTGGTGGGAGTGTAAAATGGTGCAACCCCTGTGGAAAGCAGTATGGCCCTTTCTCAAAAAGTTGCAAATAGAGATACCATTTGACCCAGCAATTCCACTACTGGGAATATACCCTGAAGAGACCATAGCTGACATCCAATCAGATATATGCACACCCATGTTTATTGCAGCTTTGTTCACAATAGCAAGGAGTTGGAAACAACCTAAGTGCCCATCAACAAAAGAATGGCTAGAGAAGCTGTGGTATATTCGCACAATGGAATACTATGCTGCATTAAAAAACAAGGAACTCATGCAATATTATTCAAAATGGTTGACTCTGGAGAACATTACGCTGAGTGAAATATCCCAGTCACAAAAGGACAAATATTACATGATGCCACTGTTGTAGAATGGGACTGTCCTTGGGGTTGGGGAGAGACTGAGTAAGATGGGTTCAATAATGTATACTGCACTGAAACAGAGGAGGGAGAAAACTGTTTAAAATAGATATATAACTAGGTATTTCTGTCATCACAGGAGTCTAGAGCGAGGGCTACACGGTGGAGGGGACCTGGGGGAGGGTTTGTAAAACAATGAAAGAATCTTTTCTTTTACTTTTCCATAATTTTTGACTCATGTACTTATAACTTGTTAATCAAATTTGTGTCTTCTAGGTTGCAACCCCCCCATGATACATCTTCAAGGATATGAACATGTACAGCCAAGCACAATCAATAAGAGTGCATCTAAATTCCAAAATCAATCTCCATAATAGTCTATGTGTTTCCTACTGCCAAAGGGGCCCTTTAGAGTAGTGAGAGATCTTCACCCTGAAACCCACAGCGTCCCTTTTCAGCAGGAAGTAGCTAAGAGAATACGCCATCCCCTTTTCCTTATGAATCAGGGTGAAGTCTCTCTCAGGGAGGAGTGATAGGTAATGGCAAAGGACACACCGACAAAGGAGATTAATCAGAACTGACTTTGACAAGCACTGTGGCAATTGGACAATTAAAACAGACATTCGGATGGCGGCGAAGAAGAACAAACTGGGGAGGAGGGTGGAGAGAATGGTGCGGCAATGAAGGAGTGAAAGCCCAGAATCCCTGTGAATGTTCATTGAAACTAATAAAATTTAATAATAATAATAATAAAAAAATGTTTGCTTACTTATATTGGTATGCATATGTATACATATAGAGCGCTGGTGGCCTAGTGGCAAGAAGCTGTGCTGCAATCTTGAAAGCACGCAGTTTGAGGCCAGCAGCTGTTCGGTGGGAAGATGAGAAATCTTTTCCTGTGCAATTAACTGCCTCTGAAAATCCACGAGACAGTCAGCTATGGGTTGGTTCTGGCTCTATAGTACACAACAACAACATATGTGTGTGTGTGTATGTGCACGCATAGATTCATTTATAGAATAAAGCACTTATATAGAATAGAACAAGAGACATTTTGTCAATTCTTTTGAACAAACCTAAACAATGTATGTAATTGGTTTTCTGGATTTGAAGCATTTTAGGGGCGCAGTACCACAGAGCAACTTAGTGGATGGTCGGTCATAATATAGTTTATGAAGTTTATGGTCTACATCCTAGTTTGAGGACTGGGATCTTAAAGGCTTGTGAGCAGCCATCCTAGATACAATTATTAGTTTTCTCTTATCTACAACAAAAGAGAAAGAAGGAAACAACAGACCCAGAGAAGAAGGTGGTCTATTAGACTAAGTCCACTTGGCCTACAGTCTTATTATAATACCTTTAGATGAGAAGAACAAGTAACCTGGTTACTACAAACAGATTGGATCATAAAATACAGACAATATGAGTGGGTACTGTGCACCTTTAAAAATGTATCTTTGTTAGTATGTGCTTTTGAGTCTGAACCAGCCCACAACTCACCCTCTAGTGGATTTTCAGAGTCTGTCAATTGCACAGACGACTGTCTTTCTCTCATGAAGCAATTGCTAGATTTGAACCACATGCTTTTTCCCATGATAGCACAATACTTTACCCTACAAAAACTATCTATGTGAGACCAAATGGTCAATAATAATTCTAAAGCAAAAAATAAGATATAAGAAGGCAGGAAAATCAAGTTCCTGATTTTCCTCTCTCCTTATGTAAATTTAAGATTTGAAATGAATTCACAGCAATATTGATAAATTAAAAAAAAAATTCAACCAATGTTATTGAACAATTGATTTGTCTAATAGGTCTTGAATTGTGTGTCAGTTGTGTGCACTATTTACAAAACACTGCTTTCTCTGGTGATTCTAATGCACCCGTGACCATGGGAGAAATATGGACAACCCCTTCCTATTAATATTTATAGCTTCCTAAACTAACAAACACAATAAAATTATTTAAAGTTATAACCTGTGAATTCATTTGTGATTAGGAAAAAGGAATGACAGAAAGTAATGATTGCTTTTAAAAGAATTTCTTTTCAATTGAAGGAACTAAAATGACTTTAAGTACCTTAGACTAAACAAAAGTTATATAATAATAAGCAGTAGATAGGAAAGGTTAAAAGATGCAGTAGTTAAATGAGGGCTGAAAGGCAAAGGGTATTTTGGTGCATATACATTCCATTAGGAGGTTAGATGCATAGGGACAGTACTGACCTCTTCCATTTCAAATGAATCCAGGGCTTTACATGCAAGATGAAACAAGTTTTTGAACTTGTTAGTCTGAATCAAGTTCTCCTTTCTTATTTTGTCCCTTAGCGGCCCATCAGTCACACTGGGAGTTGAAATATTCTTGGCCAATCTGGATGAAAAAGGCCATCGCTGGTGTGTAAGCATCTGGGGAGGATGACAGGGAAGTGGGTCACCATATGCTTGTAAAGACTGGCACCCTGTCAAAGGAGGTGGGTGACTTTGGTCATGGTTGTTTGCCACTGTTGGTAACTCTGTGGCACACTTTTCTGACTTTTCAGAGATGGTGAAAAAGTCATCCTTCATCTTCAGTGCCTCCCATACTTCCAGATTACTGTCTCTTCTTATGCTCTGTTTTGAAGCGATTCTTAAGAGTTCAGCCATTCTCCTCCGATGATCTATAACCCCACTCACTGAGATTTTCTCCAAATATGTCCCTCCATTCGCCTCTTCTGCTTTGTTCTGTAGGATGTTAACCTCATTCAGCAAGGATGAGAAGGCATAGGTCACATGATCCAGGACTTCCAGTTGTCTGAAACGTCCTGAACAAAGCAAGAATCAGACAATTCTTAGACTTACTCAGTTAAAACATATTAATATAGACAACTGCAGATATCAGTTAACATGTGTGATTTTCAAGGAGAAGACTTTCAGTCACTCAAATTCAAATTTTTGTTAGTATATATTATTGTTACAATGATGATTCCCCCATAGAATGACAAATCACTATGTTCTATTACAAGCAGTTACCTTTATGCTTCAGACAATATCAGGAATGTTCAGGGTGACAGGGCCATGTTACAAGCAACAACTCATTATTGTTCAGTTGAAACGGACTCACAGCTGATCCTCTAATGGGTTTTCAGAGGCTGTAAATTTCATGGGAGATTTTCTGTCTTTTTCCTCAGAGCAGGTGATGGATTCAAACTCCCTGCCCTTGGTTTTGCGGTTGCAGCTCTGCCCTCTAGTTTACCAGAGCTTCCGCTCAGATCATAGATATATTTTATAATTTGAAGATAAATAGCTCAATGTCATCAAGTCAGAACTGACACAGAGCTGACTCTCCAGCAGGTTTTCATAGGCAATAAATCACATGGGAGGAGATTGCTGATCCTCCTATAGAACAGCTGGTGGATTTGAACTTTGTGTCTTTGTGATTGCAGCACAGCTTCTTACCACTAGGCCACCAAAACTTCATAACAACTCAATAGATTCATATAGACTTAAAAATTTTATATGTGCTAATCTATAGAGTATCAGACATGAGAAATATATATAAATATATATGAAACTAAATGTAAGAGAGTAAATCCAACTATTTTACATAAAGTGACTTTGAGTATTCTACAGCATTGTGCTGTAGCTAACCTCCTCACCCTCATCATCATTATCATCATCATCATTTCTACCTATACTGTCCCCTGAGTAGTATGCAAAGATCATGGCATATGGGATCAAAAAGTTCTGGATTAAAGTACAATTCATAAACAAGTCACGGTCACTATATCATAAATTAATCAATATATAGATATAAATATAGAGTGTTCGGTCATGTGCCAGATCTATAGTAAGTGATCAGTTTTTTCAACTGGAAAATGAGAGAAATAGTACATATCCCATGCATCTCTCACTTCTGTTATGAACATCAGCTCAATCCAGTTTTTCAATTTGTAAACCTTTCTTGGATTATTTGTTTTCCAGAATATAAGTAATATGTACTTTCCCCTCTCAATAAGTATCTTGAAAAGACTTACTGCAGCAGGGCTAACTTGGGGACACCTTGCCAGCTTGGGAAAGCAATGCTGAAAAATATGTTTTGCTCTGTGGTTTAGTGGTAAGGAGTAGCTAGTTCAAAGGAACACAGATCAAATCTGTCAACTTCTCTATGGAAGTAAGATGGACAATCTCCTCCTATGTAATTTATTGCCTCTGAGAACCTACTAGA